AAAATACATATTTAAAAATGATAGTGAAAATGATAATGAATTTCTTTAATTTCTTTTTCATTATCATTAAAATTCTTGATGTCTTGGTAAGTTAAAGGCAAAAAACGATTTGTTAGATCGTTTAATGGTGGTCTTGGTTGAGCCAATGAGCTAGATTGGGTTAATAGTGTTGGAGAAGGTCGGGGAAGCCGTGATGGCTTTTTTTTAGTAGTATAAGGGGCAGCAGGTTGATTATTTGATGCTTTGTATGGAGGCTTAAATGGTGCATACAGCTTGGATTTTGATTTATGGGAAGGTCTTTGAGCTAATATTTGGGATAGTCTTTGAGATGGTGATCTTTTGGATGCTTCCGAAGATGATCGTTGGAATGTTTCTAATGATGATTTTTCAGATGGTTCCAAAGATAATCTTTGGGATGGTTCCAAAGAAGACCTTTGGGATGGTTCTGAAGATGATCTTTGGGATAGTTTCAAATAAGATCTTTGGGATGGTTCCAACGATAATCTTTGGGATAGTTCCGAAGAAGATCTTTGGGATGGTTCCAACGATGATCTTTGGGATAGTTTCGATGATTCTTGTTCTGGGAATTAGTATAGATAATAAATGAGAAAAAAATAATTTAATAAAAAAAATAATAATAATAATTTAATAAAAAAAAAAAAAAAAAAACTCTACGAATAAATACAAATACCTTCATCATAATCATTATCTGTCTCAAAATTTACATAATTTTGAGCATCTCTGGGAAAATAGCCAAATTCTTCATATGGAATATCGTCAAAATTTAGTGGAATTAGCATCAACGTATTCTGAAGCCTTTGTTCATTATTTGGGGTGCAATAGGCCTGAATTCCTTCTCTACTGCGATGACCAGAAAATACCATACATTCGTTCTAAGGGACATTCAAATCTTTGAGCCGTTGGATCACAGTACGCCTTAATGAATGGTTGCAAATCTTATGGCTATTTTCAAGGTTTATTCCAGTTAGATCTGCTATTTTTAACATTATAGTGTTCAATTTATTTGTTCCCATATGGGATTTTTTGAACCAGATACTCTTTGTTATATCTATTATAAGTAAAAAATTAATAATGAATAATATAACAAAACAAAACAAGAAACAAACTCTTTAAACCCTTTGCCGCCCATATTGTTTCTAAAAAAAAAGATTCACAAGCATCACAGGGCGAAAAGATATCAAATACAAGATATCATCAATTGGTTTAAAGCGATTATTCATTTAATCAGAAAGAATAGGAATCTTTTACGCTAAACTTTTTCTATATTTATTACATTTCAGCGCACCATGTTGATTATTCTTTTCATGATTGAAGGTAATATAAAGCCCACCATCGTCACAACAAGAAATATTTCTAAACTTAATTCTTTTGGCATTACCACCATGGAGGCCACAAAGAAGTGACAACCAAAAGAAAACTTGTCATGTTAAACTTTCATTGGTATCAACTTGCATTGTTTCATGACTTAATATCTTCTGCAATTAATGGTGAGGCTTGATCTGTTTTGCCCAAACCTTCATTTTGTAATTTTTTCATTTTGCTATCAAGCGTCCTTAATGCCTTGCTAAAATGATATGAATTCTATAACTTACACAGCTTGATTTTACTATGTTCTTTTAAGTAACAGGCGACAGAAGTATAGCAGTTGTGAATACTTTCTGCTTTATAATTCTTTTTATCCTTTTTCTTTAACCAGGTAAAAAACCTGTACAAAAAGTTATCTAATTCCGTTAGTAACTCTATTTTATTAATTTTTTTTCATAATCTATAGCCTCATAGAATCTGTCAATGGAACGTAACCACTTGAAGATACACTTATCTGTGTTTTCCACACGTGAGAGCCTTTGTAATTCAAGAATTTCTGCTTCAGTTAGTGCTACGTTACTGTTTCTTACGCTCATTTTTTTTTAAAAAAAGGATTGAAAAGATTAATAATGATAGAAAAAAATAGATCAATTTAATTACTAAAATAAGTAGTCAAAATTCTTTATATAGAAAAAGTCTAAATACTAACTGGAAGTTTAATCTTAATTACGTAATTTCACGGGTTGTACATCGTACCTATTAAATAACAAGAATTTATTAATCTAGTTATTTGTTGTTAAAATATTTTTGTTAGTTGATTCAGTAATTATTAACCAAAGCCATTTGTTAATTTGATTGCTGAATATTATAAATATAAAAAAAAATAAACAATAAAAAAAATAAACAATAAAAAAAATAAACAATAAAAAAATAAACAATAAAAAAAATAAACAATAAAAAAAATAAACAATAAAAAAAATAAACAATAAAAAAAATAAACAATAAAAAAAATAAACA